AAGACAGCAAAGCAGCCCAGGACAAATTTGTGGAAACACCTTGTTCTTCACCAAAATGAACCTCTTACCTGGTGAGAGCTGCAAACCATGCAGGAAATCCAGTAAGGCTGCTTTGTGCCTCCCCAGCTCCAGGAACTGTGTACCTCGCCCAATGAGAGAGAGCAATCGGATCTTCTGGAGCACCTCCACTTCTGGCAGGAGACTCTCTGTCACAGAAAGACACGTGCACCTGGAGACAGATTCCTCCAGACATTCCCTCTCTTGTACCAGCAGGCTGAGCCAGGTTAGCAGTCAGAAAAGGCCAAACATTTACTTGGGCTGCTCATCTTTTAGCTCCTCAGACAGATGGCAGAGCTCAGCCTCTCTGCCAGGCTGGAAAAGGCCAGGAGGCAGCAGAGGGGGAGAGTTGAAAATGCCAAGAACTTGATATGTTACACGGCTGTGGTGAACAGTGACCTGAGCAGCAGCCTGGCCTTTGGCTGCCCATCTGCACAACAGGCACAGATCTCTTCCCTGAAATCTGGATTGGAGAAGCTTCCCAGTTCATAGCCAATTTAACTGTTTCCTAGACAGTGGAGAGGGAGGCCAAGGTGAAATCCTGCTCCAAACAAGTCAGCCAGTCTCTTCAGGGTCTTCAGCGTGGCACAGAGCTCAGCACCTTGGGATAAGTACCTCCTGCCTGCCACCTTGCTCCTGTACCCACTGCTGCCAAGCACACAGACCCTGACCCAGACAGGTCCTACACAGGTCCTACCTGTTGGTTCAACGCCAGGCCCATTGAGCTGGACTCGCAGGAGGTCACTGAGGCACCTGTAGGTGGGAGGACAGAGGAGCTTTGGTACCAATCCTGGGCTGTCAGGAGTGTCCAGTTGCCAGGCCAGCCCCCACACCATGCTGTGCTCTACTCTGGGCCCACCAGCCACTGCTGGGGAGATCCCTTCTCCCAGTGAGGTACTTTGTCACCTGCTGAATTGCGTTATGGCCTCTTTGCTCTCGCCCAGCTTGGCCCATGCCCAGCCCTGATGCAGGTATGCAGCTGTTCTCCAGGCAAGACAGCACAGACTCTCCTTCTTCTGGGACAGGAGTCTGTCCACTGGTCCTGCCCCTGGTGATGGGCACTCTGGCTGCTCCAGCCACTTGTCCACTGGTAACATCCGTGGAATCAGGTGAGTTGTCCGGCTGATGACCTCCTCGCACACAGTTATGGCATCCTGATGCCTTCCAGCCAGCTCCAAGGCAGACACTGCTTCCAGGAACACCTCTGGAATCCTGGGCAGAGCTGAGCTACCATCCAGGGGCACCTGGGGAGCAACACCATGTTAATGCTCAGACACAGAACTGCCCAGCCAAGCAGAATGACCCCCACCTGGGAACATGGAGCTGCTGCTTGGCAAAGCTCAGGCCAATTCCCACAGACACTGGAGCCTGGCAGAAGAGGCAGAAGCTGTGAAGCACTCACAGCTCAGCAGAGTCAAGGCAGCAAATCCCTACTCTGGAAGTGAAAGACATCCAAAATTAGGCTAACAGCTGTTCCCCACTGGGAGGGGAAAGGTGTTTCTCCAGTGGGCATTGGTCTCTGGTGTGAATCCAATGGCAAACATTGGTCAGGGGTGACACCCCCTGCCTTGGTTTCCTTCACATCTTAAACTGGACACTGAAACCTGGAGTCCAGAGGTGACACCTGGGCCCAGGCCTTGGGATGGGGATCCAAACTTCATCTACCAAGTCACCAAGGGAGGTCTTTACCAGAACACCTACCTGCTGCTGCAGCTTCTCCTGAAGCAGAGCCAGAAAATCCAGGTAATGTTCCACTGCATCAACCACCCTGCAACGGGGATGGGACATATGGTGGAAGGAGAAGAGGGAGCCAAAGAAGTGCCAGCAGGCAGGTGGAACCTGGATTGCCAGTCCATAGGTTCTGCCTCTGCACCACACTCGCTCTGGTCATGATATCCACGCTTTGAACAGGCCTACAACAGCAGTACTCAACTGGACTATTCCCAGGAGTGCAGGGAAAACTGTAGAGCCCAAACAAGCAGAGGTGCTGTTACCTCCCATCCTGGAGACAACGCTGTGCCAGCAGGTACTTCACTTCAGAGGGGTGGCGATGGCGAAGGAGTTTAGTGAGTATTGGTGTGTGGACAAGCAGCTCTGTTCGGATTAGGAAACAGAGACTAGAGGAAGCAGCTGCCGGAGGGTTTTTTTCCAGAGCCTGTGAAACAGGAACAGAAAATATGGTCAACACAACAGTGGTCAAGTCCCAAGCAGATGCAACCACTTGTCACTTCTGGCATGTGGAGATGCACTCAAGCAAGCAGAAGTGCTGCACTTCACTAGCACAGCTACATTGTCCTCACAGCCACCTCCAGGAAGAGCCATCAGGATCAGAGAGTCTTCTGATCTCCACATGACGCCAGCAGATTTGCAAGATCACCTCAGGTTTTTAGTTCAATGTGCTCAGAGCTGCCTGGAACACCGTCTCCCATTGCAGCTGCACACCTAGTTAGACTGGAGCTCAAGCCATTCATAAGGAAAGAGATCCCTCTCTGCAGCTGTTTGTACCTTACAGATTTCAAACTGCTGAAGAGCAAACTCGGTGTCTACTGCCATGACCTGCTCCTCCCAGGCAGGCTGATACAGCTAAAACACACCCCGGCCAGCCACAACTGCGTTTAAAAGTCTCTTTACTATTATATCCTTCATTAAGAGACTGATACTTTCTAACCTCAGGGTGTAACCTCCTCGACCAAGCCACCAATAACATGAACTGAGATCCAAGGTCTTGCCACATCCAACCACCAGGTGCTGAGCAGGAATTTCAGATCTTGCTGGGATCCTACCGGCCCACTGGCTGAAGGCAGCACTGTGCCTGCATTGCTATAGTCTACTCTGGTGACCCCCTCTGGAGTCAAACAGTCCCACAGAAGGCAGAAGCCTGCCTGATGTTCTGTGCGGGCTCTGCTGTGCAAAAATCAACCCAGAACTACAGGAATCAGACAAACCTCGTAGAGTACAGCCAGGGCCTGCAGCTCTGCATCCATCTCTCCCAGTTCGTGGTACACTGCTGCCGCATGGGACAGGGCAGGAAGGCACTGGAAGTCTACCTGGAGGGCCCGTTTCAGGTGCTGAAGGGCTGTCTGAGGCTTGCCCTAGTTAGATGGGAAGAGATGCGTGTTGCCAGGACATCTTGCTGACGGCTTTGCTATTCACTGGGATCCAGACCCCTTCTCTGCTTCCCCAGAGATCCCCACTAAGCAAGGGCAATGCTTCAGCTAAAGGCAGCCCTCCTCTGGCTGGCTTTTGAGCTTCTCTCTCTGCAACACCTTTTGTGCTAAGCCAAAGCCCCTGCCTGGATTTTGCAGCCTGTCCAAGGAGGCTGGGGCTATAAGGGCAACTTCTGCTCCAGACCTCCCCTTCCTCCAGTGGCCTAGGACCAGGTATAGGCAGAGTGGAAATCAGCCTGAGCCTCCCCACCCTGCTCTAAGCTGCTTTTCCCCTCCCTCCGCTGTTCAAGGATTGGCCCAGCCATTACCATTTGCTGAGCACAGCAGCCAAGGCAGGTGTAGATCTGGGCCAGGACCTTCTTGGAGCAGAATCCTCCTGCAGCTTCCTGAAGGAGGGAAAGGGCAGTGGGGAAGTTCCCCGCCTCCAGCTCCTGCAGTCCTAGGAGAGACCCAACACCTCAGCTCTGCAGCTTACCTTGCTGCCTGACCTGGTCCCGAAACACACATGATGCCCTTATCTTCCCAGTGCCACAGGGACCTGCCTGATCCTCTCAAAACCCAGCAATGCATAGCAGGATGGTACCAAACTGCCATCTTTGCTTTGAAGGTGTTGCAAGAGAACAAGCCACTTGATGGAAATGTCCAGCAGAAATAACAGCAGCTTCCAAGCCCAGAAACCAAGACGCCTGCCTTGGCCCAGAACAAGGGCAATCCACAGTGAGAGCAGCGCAGATGGGGAAGCACACAATCTCAGACTCTTTACAGCACATTTGGGCCATTTCCCAGTAGGGTGCATTGGGATATTAATTCAGGAATATTTATCACGAATGGTTATTTGCTTTTCTTCCAGTCCTCATTTCAATCTTTCCTCTGAGGCTGCTCTCACATACCTGCATCACATTCACATCTGCCACCTCCCTGTTGGAAGTGCTGGTGCCACCCTAAAGCATTTTGGCAGCAGGTCCTGCCCTGCCCCCTGGAAGGAAGGCCCCGTGTGAGTCTGAGCACCACGAGACAGCACTGGCTGCCCCAAGAGCTGCTGGAGTTGTCAAAACAGGGAAGAAGAGAAAACAACATGCAGGACAGAACGCAGCAGTCAGAGGAGATCAATCACCTGCTGTGACACCAGGTTACTAGCCTCACAACAGCTTTGCATGGCTCTTGCAGCACTGTAATCTGACAAGAACGACACGTATGCAACAAAACAGGAGCCGGAAGACAGACAGAAGAAAGGAAAATCCCTGTAAGTCCCCTGCCAGCTTTCTGTGCTAAGATCACTGCAGGGCCTGCCAGCCTTCTGTGCTAAGATCACTGCAGGGCCCAGACACCTACCTAAAGTCACAGACCAGCAAGGGAGTCCTGTGACAGTGCAGAGAAAGGATCAGCTGGGGAAAAGTCAGGAAGGCTCCTTGAATACAGAATGGCAAAGCTGAGATTCAGAGGCTCACCCTGGGCACTCTTCTGAAGGAATAGCCCAGAAAACCCCAAGGGCCAATTTGCTTGGGAAGACAAGCCAGGATAAGGGCAGGGAAAGGGGGAGAGCAGTGGGAGGGTGTGCTGGCATGAGTGCCTCCTCCACACAAACCTTGCAGGAAGGCTGCTGCAGTGCAGAGGATCTCTTTCAAGTCCTCAGCGCTCTGTACCAGGGGCAGGGAGGCCTTCTCAGCAGGTACTGGCCATGCCTTGAGCAGGGAGAGGAGTTCATTCTGCCCCTCACTGCAGCGAGCTCTTTCCGGCTCCTGTGAATGCACAGAGGAGAGAGAGCAGAGAATGCTGAAGGGAAGTAGGAAACACTAATCCAAGAGCATAGAGAAACAGGTCCCACCAAACCCTTCAACAGTGTTCTCTGCACTAGGGAGGAATGTTCGAACACACACTTCAGCTACAATCCTCTCACTGCAGTGACTCCTGCCTGGCCTACAGTAACACCTCCCAACCTCCATGTGGGGCATGCCTCAAGGGGCTCCTGGCAAGACAGATCCAAGTGCTGTTGGAGTGTGTTCAAAAGGGTGGGACTCCTCAGCAGCCTCACAATCAGCAGGGAAGGTTCCTCTGCATTTCACTGCTCATGGCTTGTTCCCCACAGAGGCTGCAATTCCACCTGCAGCCCCTTCCAGCCTGCCCAAGTCTCCTGTCCACTCCACTAAGGTCCAGGGCCGCAACAGGCAGAATATTCTGGGGTTCATTAATGCACTTGGGGCCAGTAGGCTATACTGGGATGCTAGGGAGAGGATGACTCATGTTGACTGGGCAGCATAGATGGATTCAGGTGTCCAACTGCCACAACAACATTTTGCAGAGAGGGTTTTA